CCGCCCACGGCAGGGGGCAGCATGGCGCTGGCAGAGGTCAGGCTGCGGGTGGCATCTGCATTGGGGGAGAGCTCCTCCGGGTCGCTTTGGCATGGGTCGTCACCCAGCGAATTCTGCTTGCTGAGCTTGGGGGCTAACATCTTCACAAGCTCCGGCAGCATGAAGTACTCGGCCTCTCGCTGCAGGCGGCTCCTCTCTGGGAAGTGGTCGGGCAGCACCAGCTGCTGGTCCCTCATGTAATCCAAGATGTAGCGGAAGAGGAAGCCATCCCGGTCCACGAAGAACCGTCCCTTGCTGTCACGGGCCAGGGAGCGGACGTTCTTCTGGGTGAACATCTCCCAGAGGAGTGAGCCAGGCACGCTGACCAGGGTGGGGTGGCGGGTGATGTAGACTTGTCCACCCACATTGAGTTCAATGATCTCGGGGAAGGGGAAATCCTCGCTGGGTTTGGCACAGCCCGCGTTGTCTGCCAGGGCCATAGTGAGCTGCCACTGCCTTCCCACCTGCAATGAGAAGCAGCAGCGTGCCAATGTTAAGGCTGCCAGCAAAAACAGCCCACTGTCCCACCGATCCCAAGCCAGATCGCACTTGCTTTAGGTCAGCAAGCAGTGCAGGATCAGGCCCCCATCTCTCCGAGAGTCTGGAGGTCAGCTCTCTGCCCCAGCCCCTGGCTCTTGGAAGAAGCAGCATTATCTAATGGTGCCTTCCCTTCGTGGCACAAGAAGGGAAGAGCATCGCCCGTGGTCTGAACACACCATCCCCACCTGCAGCCCTCCCGACACCCCGCTCCCCGGGCTGGGGCTCAGCGCCGAGGGAGGCTCAGTGACACCGCACTGATGTTAACAGGGAAGCCAAGACCGTCACGCCCTGGGTCTGACCGGCGACGCACCCGGCCCAGCATCCCGCCGGTCGGGAGGAGCCGCCGGGCATGCCAAGGAGGACCGCATTATGGCACAGTGTCTCCTGCTGAGCCGGGGAGCTGATGGTCCCCTGCAGGGAGCACCCACAGGTCTGCCAGAAACGCAACACTAGATGCCACTCTGAAGGGCAGAGTGACAATGGCTTTTGGCACTCCTGCTCCATCCTTGCTCCTGGAAAGTACTCAACAGAGACTCGAGGCCAAGCTGAGAGCAGGTGAGAGATGGCAGAATCTCTCCAAGGGTCTGGGACCAAGACAAACACCGGGCTACTGGTAGAGCCTCGGGCCAGACACCATGTATTTATACATTTTCCAAAGGCAAGCTGATCCTTAAGCATCTTTTGGCACTGCAAATCAACACTTACATAAACCTGGCTCAGCAGATGGACTCCAGATCCAGCCTGGCCAAGCCAGGCTCCGTGCAGGGATTTGGGAGACCACGGAGAGAAGGGGTTTCCCTGCATCGCCCCTAACTGCCTGGCAGGGGCTGGCCTCAAGCTCTGCCCACTCCCCTGCGCGATGTTAGTGCAGCCCTGGGACTGCTCTGAAGTTGGCAGGAGCTGCCTGCAACCCGCAGGGACGGGTCCCGCAGCCAAGGAACACCACGAAGTCTCGCCCCATCCTTGTGTCCTGCCTTACGGCTTCACAGGAACAGCGCAAAAGGGTCCCAACGGAAATTTCAGAGACACTAAAAGGGTGAAAGCTAAAACTCCGTGGGCACTTTTGGGTGGTGGGGAGAGCTGAGCCTGCGTTTCATGGCCACACGCCTCCTCCCAGCTCATAGGGATGTTCAGGGAGGAGCAAGGAGCGACTTGGGCAAGCCTCTGCCAAGGAAGGGACTGCAAAGAGAGTCAGCGCGGTCCACCTGGCTTCCCAAATCCTCGCCCGCAGTGGCTTTTAGCCCCTTTCTCTGGTGACATGCCCACCCCGCTCCCACCCCGCTACAGAAGGGCGGGCAGGAGCCCGCCTGTGCCTGGAGCTCGGCTGGCGAGAGCCGGGTCCCTCTGTCACGGGTGGCGGAGGCTGAGGACTGCAGCTGGGCTGCCCGCGGCGGGGCCACGGGAGTTCGCGGGGGTGGGGGGAACAAGGGAAGCCGACCCCCTGCCCGCCTCGTGCTGCCTCCGTGCCGGCAGCAAAC